AAGAAACGATGTTAATTTTCCATGACTTGTTTCGCGAATGACTGCGACGCGTCATGTGTGAATAATAAGAAAATATATTTATTCCTTTATTAATAAAAAATCTAATGTATAAAACAAAAAAATCAAGACAATTTCATATTATTATTTCATTTCCCTTCTTTCAAAATGTATTATTCATGATTTTACGGATATCAAATTTTATATATGCTGACAATTATGAAACGATTTAATTTATCTGCGGACAAGCTTTAACCAGAGATGATATAATGGTAAAATTATTTATTTATGCGTTGCGATTGACCACGCGTTGCAATTGGTCACGTTGCGATTACCCACGTTGCGATTGGCCACGCGTTGCAATTGGCCACATTGCGATTGACCACGCGTTGCAATTGACCACGTCGCAATTGCCCCTCCAAACTAATTTTGTATATTAAAAAAAGTCGTTTTAAATGAATTGAGAAAAAAAATTATCAGAGATTATTCGAGACTAAATAATGTTCACTAAATTTTTTTTAATAATAAAAAATATTGTTCAAGACGGACAAACAGAATTCGTTGGTGCTGTTGATGCTGTCGACTTCGTCTGGCTACCTGACTTTCTTGTGGCCGGTCTGCGACCACGGATTGAAGCCGTTCGGCACTTTGTTGGTGGGAAATTAGTAAGGAAATCTATAGTGTATATGTAACGTATATTATATTATTTATGTATATTTTTATACGAGAAATTTTTCGGGAATAAGGCGCCTGTATTGAATTTGTATAATTTTATTAAAGTTTGTAGAAAAATTTTACAAGATCTGTTTTCGGCATACTTATAGCTATGGTAGATTAAAAATCGATCAAAAGCAACTTTAAGTACAGGGTTTACCTTTGAGAAAATAATTTTTTGACCATTTTTCGCGGAGTTACGATTGTCTAAAGTTATGCGAAATTTTGATATAAATTTACTTATGCGTTAATTTTGTTGACCAGTATATAAATAATAATATATTAGTAATATAAACTTTTTATTTATTATATATTCTATTTATATTCTATTTATATCCGTATTCTATTTATTTTGATATAAATGACATTTATAGATATACGGATTTTATGATAATAAAACTAATATTTAACTTAATTATTACAGATGATTCAATTTACTAAATTGAATAAGTTAATTATAAAATTTCTATGACAAATAGATAATATTAAAAATATTACTGTACAAAAGAATAAAAAAATCCGTTTGAAAATATTTGGAAGATCATTTCTAAACTGCAAATTTTTAAAGAGTTTTAGACCATTTATAAATTATTTTGTATTGCTGAAAATTTACAGGAATAAAATAAATTATTAAAGTGGGCCTGTTTGAAATCTGCAAGTTGAAACTCTATCCTCTCTCTGTCGCTTCGATAGAATAAAATAAAAAGTAAATAAAAAAGGATAGGCTCTAGAGCCTTGCCTGGATTCTCGAAAGATTAAAGAGATCGAAAACGATGATTTTATTTTTCTTAAAATTGTGTTAGCCAACTTTTGCCAATGGATTCGTGTTCAGCAGGCAAAAATACGTCGGTAATGACTATTCATATTCGTGACGCAAAATGACGTTCTACAGTGTAATTACTGTTATTGGTAGAATAACATACATATAGTATTAATTTTGAAAGACTTGTAAACACAATTTAAATTTCTTCTCTAATTGGGAGTTTAGTGTACCGTTGCAGCCGAATATGCCAAGATGATGAATACGCACATAATCTTCGCAGTCGATCACTCCATTTCCGGTGCAGTCCTATTAAATAATGCCCATTGAACGTTACATTGAAGACATGTGTAAGTCGAAATCTGTATATAATAATTACTTACGTGGCTGAATTTGGCCATGTAGGCTTTTATTGTATCAGCAGCACAGTTGGGATCGTTGGCACATCTGGAATAAGCTATAATAAAAAAACTATTATTATAGATTAAACATATTAGAAGCCGCGAGCCAACACGGATGTTGGTGTGTAATAATTTTCTTATACTATGCAATATCCAATCACATGCAAACTGCGCGCTGCATATTCGTTGGCCTTGAAACACAGCTTATTACATGAGGTCGGAATTACTTGTAACAATTTAAATCGACTAACGATTTAATTTCTTTAATGCTAATACGCAGCTATAAGAATCCCCTTCCCCCCGAATCTGTAAAGAATTTATTGTGAAAAACGCCCGTCCGGCAAACGTGGAGATTCGGGTTCGATTCATAGCTGAGGTGATATTTTTCACAATAAATTCTCCGTGTTGGCTCGCATACGATCTCTACTTTAATACGTTTGATATATTCTCGTGAGCCTATTTCTCTAAATTATTTGATTATTATAGAATTTTTTACTATAAAATTATTATATTAAAATTTCAAATTGTAAAATTTACATTTATTAGTCACTGAAATAAATAATGTAAATAATTTACACAACGATTCTATTAACATTGGGCTACTGCTAATTGTCAACATGTAAACAATTTGGTTTGTATTATGAACTAAAAATAAGTAACAAAAAGTCAGTCAAATTACAATTAAAATTGACATTATCAATTAGATAATAATAAGTAGAAATAGACTGCGATGAGAAGGTACATATAAGTGAAGAGCCTGGATCTGTCAATCGGTTAAAGCGGATCGATGAAAAATAAATTTTTTACAAGTATCTAAGATGCTCTAGCATCAATATTGTTACGTTTACGAATAAAAGTGATAAAAATAGAAAGCGCACACCGACTCGATGCACCCTGCTCATGCTCACGCATATGAATTAAAGGAAACACAATACAGAGATAGTTGAACGGATTTTAATTTAATGCGAACACAAATCAGTAACAGAAATTCCTCAACAATATTCCGCGCACGAGGTGACGAGCTATACATCTGAATGGTTTGACAGCTCCGAGACAACTTTGGCACCCAATCGTTTATTATTCTCCGCAGCGACGACTCGTTAACAGAGAACGATCTTCTCATATCGCTTCTCGCGATCAACGTCAGCAGTCGACGATTAAAATTCCGCGGACACTTGAAGCAGTAAATTCGTGACTCCAACTTCAATTTAAGACTGCGTTTTAAAACAAACATATAGCGCAATTTGATGCAAAAATATTATTAGACACCAAAATTTACTTTGATCCATAAAAGCGCTTTTCACTTATTTGTATTATTAATTAGATATGACACACAAATACACACACACACACACATATTTTTTTTCTACACGTATGACAAATGACACCTTTACGCTTTTTATTCTCTATTTCTTATTTAAAAACTAAACTAAAAAAAATTAAGGTGGTTCTTTAGTAAAATGTCGAAAATTTAAGGCGTCTCACCAGAGGTCCACCCAAAATCATATATATTTGTATAATTTGTAAAATATTAAAACTATATGTATATCTAATGAAATTGTATGAAACTGCTACCCCGCGCGACAATGAACAATAGGAAAATGGGGTACAATGTAGGTTGCTAGCAATATTATGCGATATTTTTTCATTTCAACATTAAATATCTTTCCATAATAGCCGATGACTTCTATCTTGTGACCATTAAAATCGTAATTTTGTAAACTATGACGATGCATGATTATTTATCTTGACATTTGGATATATTTTTAACCGTATTATCTATATTTTTATAAAAATTATTTTTTTTTGAAGTATAATATGTTATGTTTATTCATTCCTGTTACGATAAATCTTTAAGAAGGTTGCTATAAAGAATAAAGAAATGGAAATTATTTTCATATCCAAATTATTTTATATTTTGAGAGAAAGTAATTTACCATTGATGCTAAGTGGTTCGCCGTTTAGAGTTGGTTTATCAGCATCAGACCAATAGTCCCATGTTATGCCAAAGGGTCCACATACGGATCCAGAACACCCAATAGTGGTGTTACATCCTGAACTCGCTTCGCACAAACAGCCTAAACAGACCTGTGATACAAATTGAGCTGTAATGAAAAAAAGAAAGATGTAAACACTATTAATACATTAAAAGATTGACTATGTAACTTTTTATGCAAACTGCTATTAATGATGTGCGGCTGATAAAAATTCCTGGAACTAATGGAACCGAATCAGATTAGAAATCTCTGTCTCTGAATCAATCAAAGATTAATACAAGACAAAATTTCGCTTTATGCAAAACAGTTGAATAAAATAATTGCTTAAATATTTAAAACGCATTATGTAAAGAATAAAATAAAATAAAAGTAAAAATTATGAAAAACAGGCAATTAGTATGCAAAGCACATTTTAATCTGTTTAAAATCAAAACAAATTTTATTATAATTAAATGTTTTAAAATTTATATTTTAAAATTTATAAAGCTGAAACTTTTTGAAACAAAATTATTGAATTTAATTTTAATAAATTTTATAAAAAATTGAGATAACACATAATATTTTATATTGATATTTTATTTGTACATTTATAAAGAATATTTTAGGATAAAATATTCCATTTGTAATATATGTATATCGATTTTTAACAAGCCGCGAATCAACATTTTTTCGAATTGTCAATTTCTTTAAATTCCAAGCGAATATTATTTCACATTATGTATAATTTCTTGAAATTTCTTTTTAATTGCTACGTAGTAATAACATATATTATTAAATTTTTAATACTTAAAGAAAATTTGCGTGCTATAAATCGTTCTTCTATAATAAAATAAAACCATCGATAGCTTACCAGAGGTAAAAACACAAAATAATGCAATTATTATCATGGAAATCCATGAGACTCTTCCGAACATCTTGGAGATGTGCTGCTGCTGATCCGTAAGAAGCAACGTCTATCAACGCACTATGCTGACGTAAAGGTGAAGCATAGATAATATTTATCTATGTATTAGATAGCTGACTTTCCTATTTACCGTACATAAAAATTAGCTCCAACTCCAGCTATGTATAAATCGTCACGTCATACATAAGTCATACAATATATAGTCTCAAGCAGAACAACAAGTCATCATGATATCAAAATGATAATTATTAAAAGTTACTTTTCGATCAGTTATGGTTCATTTTAACATCATTTTGACGATCTCATAATTTGCTGTTCTGCTTGGAATATGGTTGCGATACTACGTGTTTCAAAAATTGTGGTAAACGCGTTTTTTAAGGGTTTCAATCCCATTTTTCTCAAAAATATGATAGACAAATCCTGAGGGCAGCATCGTTTTCAGCGCTCTAAAAAGGTTTCTACGAAACCACTCTTCTTTTTCAAAAATCTTTTAGCATGTCGACCAATAATTGGTGCCAAATTACAATCAATTGCAATAAAAGACCTTGCAAAAGTAACGATTAAGAAAAATACAACCTAAATAGTATATATCTTTGTATTTCCACTGTAGAATCTTTCTATTCCAACCCAAATAATAGTAGCTTTAATTTTTTGTAATTAGGAATGATCGTTATAATCCACTATCTTTCGTTATTTTTCGGACAACTCATAATTCCTCGCTCAAAGAACTTCCTCTCTTTCTCTGAAAAAATTATTACAAGTTTTTTAAAAAACTGCACAACTTTTTAAATTTTGATCAATACCTATTTAATTTTACTTAATCTTATTTTTTTAGAAATGTCAATTTTGATTTATAAAGTGTACATTTCACAAACAATTGAAAATTTTTTTTAGAAATGTAAATTTTGATTTACAAAGTGTACATTTCACAAACAATTGAAAAAATTTGGAATATTGATCATTATTATTTGGTGCTACAGTGATTATTATGGTTCTTTACCATATCAAATTATTTTCTAGATACGAAAATATAAATTTCTCTAAATCAAGTAGTAAAAGAATTTGATTAAGTTAAACATTAACTGAAATTTTAAGAATCTCGATTTTTTCTATTTCTCTTTAATTATTTGAAATGTAAAAACTTAATAATTTTATAATTTAAGTATCGGGAGAATTTAATATAAAAGAAAAAAAAGAGAAAGAAAGAGAGAAACAATGATATCAATCAAAATTTTTTAAATCAAACTTTTAAAGTTTTTATTGTAAATTTTCTTATATTGTCTATACTAGTCTAAACATCGGTATAAATAAGACAGTTTTTTATGTTAAATACAGTCATACAACATAAATATTTAGGTTAGTTAAATAAAATTAATGCAATGTGGCACGTATAAGCATATGAAATATCGTGAACATACACACACATGTTTTTCATTTTGCTATGAGATACTGATTGCAAATTATATCCTACTATTACGGACATTATACTAGATAACATTTAATATGCAAAACTAAAGGCAAAGACATCTTTACACTACTAAAAATGAACGATGTATCAAATACTTATATAATGAAATTACAAGATGAGTATTTATCTTTATATTAATTAATGGACTGTCATTACGTGGTAGCATAACATACACACACAGTTGAAAAATTTGTGTTAAATTTAACACATCTCACATGTCCCAAACGGTCCACTCAAATTTTTGAGTTAATTTAACGCAAGATAAATATGTTAGAAAGTAACACAAACATTATGTAAAAGTAATACAAAAAAATATAACACTTTAATATAATTTGGAAACAAATTGTGGAAACATTATTTTTCAGTAAAATTAACACTTATGACATGTAAAATTAACAAGTATATTTATCTCTTATTCATTTTAATCTTAGAATTTATGGTTTAAAACTACTTTCTTTTTATATCGTTATTTATTCACTTACTCATAAATTGTTACTTTGACACTAAAAAATATTGAATCAATTTAACACAAAATATTTAAGTAACATAATCACATTATGTTAATTTAACAAGCAAATATGTTAAAAATTTTAACAAGAACTTGAGTGGACCGGTTCCAACATAAATACAAAATGTTTGTTACTGTGTGCATAGAATTAATTTTGGAAGGTTCGTAAACACAATTTAAATCTATTCTCCAATTTGCTGTTTAGTGTACCGGTGCAGCCGTATGGACCAAGACGATGAATACGTATATAATCTTCGCAGTCAACCACTCCATTTCCGGTACAATCCTAATAAATAAAGCCCATTAGACATTACACTGAAGACATGTGTATAAGCCGAAATCTGCATATGAAAATTACTTACTTGACCGAATTTGCGCATATAGTTTTGTACCGTACTAGCAGCACAGTAGGGATCGTTGACACATCTGGGATAAGCTATAATAAAAAAAGCGATTATTATAAAATTATTATATTAATCTCAGATTGTAGAATTTACATTTATTAATCACTAAAATCGACGTGTAAACAATCTACATGTAGTCATTATTGTGAACTAAAAATAAGTAACAAAAAATCAGTCAAATTGCAGTTAATATTGACATTATTAATTAGATAATAAATAAAAATGAACCGATGTGAGGAAATAACGCAAATAAGTGAAGAGCCTGGGTCTGTCGGTTAAAGTGGATCGATGAGAAATAAATTCTTTCCAAGTATTTAAGATGCTCACGACAGCTCGCTTATACACCGATTCGATGCACGAGACACACCCGTAACTCTCACGCATGAAAGGAAACACAACACAGGGATAGTAGAATGCGAACTTAATGCAAACACAACTCAGTAACAGAAATCGGTTCAACAATATTCCGCGCACGAGGTACACGTCCGCGAATGGTTTAACAGCCTCATCGCGACAACTTTGGCATCCAACCGCTTATTATTCTCCATGGCGACTCGTTGAACGTTGACTCAGAGAACGATTTTTTCATATCCTCTTGCGACCAACATTAGCAGTCGGCGTCGATGCAGCGGTTAAAATTCCGCCGACACTCGGGAAACACGGGCGCAACAATATCATTAAGAGGGGAGCCTGGTTTAGCACGCTGAAAAATTAGGTGACTTTTGGAATTTTTTTTAGGAAACTATACAATCAATTCTTTTGAATTTTATAGGGTAGTTTCTTAAACTACTGAACTAACAAAAAAAAGTATTTATTATGCAAGTAATAACAACTTTTTATTCGGCGTGTCGGCGGGCGGCGTACAATGTAGCATCGCTTGTATTTGTCTGATAATAATAAAAAATCCAAAAAGATTATTGTTTATTAAGAGTTTACGCATTAACTGAACCTATTTCTAAAGAAAATAATGCGAAATTGTGAAAATTGCGCACTTGAAAAAAGAAGGTAGCGATTTTTACAAATAATTTGTCGTGTTTATTATGCAAAAAAATATTATTTATTATGTAACAATTATTTAATTAAAGAATATTATTATAAACTGTGGTTCAAGTTGTTAGGAAAGTATTTGTGCAGATGTGTGCGAAGGCCCAAGCCAATCGGATGAATAGTTTTTGAGTTATCTTGCACGCCGCCTAACACTATCACCGCCGAATACATGTTATTGTTATTTGCATAATAAATACTTTTTATGGCAAAAAAATATTTTTTTGTTTAGTTCAATAGTATAAGAAATTATCCTATAAAGTTCAAAAGGATTGGTTGAATAGTTTCCAAACAAAAATTCCAAAAAGGTTATCTAATTTTTAGCGTGCTAAACCAGGCTTCCCCCTTAAACCGCTTGTATATTTAATTCATGACTCCAACTTTAGTTTAGGAACTGCGTTTTAAAATCAACAACTAGTCGACGCGCAATTTACATGAATTGGAAAATGTATATAAAGTTATGCAAAAATATTATTAGACACCAAAATTCTCTGATCGGTAAAAACGCTCTTCACTTATGCGTATTATTAATTTAGCATGTATTGATGTATATGATTCATTACATATGACAAATGACCTTTACGCTTTTCATTTCTTCTTTAGAAACTGAACTGAAAAAAAGCATTAATTAATGACTAAAAAATGGTATCATGTGATGATAACGTTCAAATTCAAATTAATTTGAAGTAGTCTGATGGAAGCGGCATTGTATTTCATATCCATTTTTTTCAAATATAAGCAAGATAAGTATATTTATTAAAGTAAATTATTTAATATTTA